CATCACTCGTCTCATCACCGTTGTATTTATTTTCTATCACAATCTGCAGAAATTAAGATTTTTTTCTTCAGATGCCAGATAATGCAGAAGTATGGAATTACTCAAGATTTAAAAGGAAATGGGATTTCCCCAATTGTATTGGAGCTGTAGATAGAAAACATGTTACAACACAATGTCCAGACAACAGTGGTAGTACACTTTTACTCTCTCGTCTTACGAAGAAACTTCGTAAGAAGAGAAAGCTACGAGTAACCATGCGCCAGAAAACGGCAATTTTTTTTTCATTATAAAGAGCATTTTAGCATTGTTCTCGTGGAGGGGAGTCTCTTTAAGCCCTCCCTCAAATCATGGCAAGTGCTCTGAAAGAAATTCATAAAAATTACCGATATGAGACTTCTACAACTCGTAAAGTTTGGAGACGCCGTCAAGGAAAGCTAAAACCCTCTCAGTTACTCTTTTTCCATAGAACACTCACGTGTATGAGAGGCCCCTTTCTTACAGCACTTCGACTCGAAATGATCACACAGTTTGACCAACCTCATCGGACACTTATACATAGGACTTGTAAATCCTCCAGCAATCAAACCACGTTCTTGCGCCCATTCAATAGTAGCTAAACACCCCTTTCGGCGTAACGCGTAAAAATAATACATTTATTCTCACCATCGTAGCCCAAATACTCAACAATCAAAACAAATCACAAAGAATCATAAGAGCTCAAGAAACGTAACTGTACGACAGCAATCTAGCTAATCCCTTTGACAGCTACCCCAACACAAAATCCCAGGGGCACACCACCTCAATGCATCACTATTTGATAATGGAGCTGTTGCGACACTATTCTATTACAATCGTCTCAGTAGCATAATGTTTACAACTCAATGGAGCATCGCTAAGTTCCGGTTTAAACCACTTCCTCAAGTTGAACCGAGTTCTAAGCTTTAGCCCATTTATCGTCGATGTGGCTCTCTATCAGAGTTTTTCCAAAATGTTGGCCCTCTGGCTTCAAAATACTGTGAACTTCTGCTCTAGTATATTTGATATAACGTATAACATTTGTTTCTCATTTTCTTTTTGATTAAAACATATAACTGCCAGTAAAAAATCATATTTCGTTTAAACGGCTCTTTACGAGATGTTTTCAAAAATTCGAGTCCCCTGTCTTCAAAATATTGTGTATTCCTGCTCTAATATTCTGTAATACGTTGTACTTTCTACAACTCATAGCGAAACTTTTGTCTGGCTTTCATATTGTGCGTACGTATCTGCTTGAGAGTACGAATGATAGCGTATTAATTATACACAACTGGCTAGGCGTTCCTCAATAGGAAGCAAAGAAGTCCTTCCTCCACAAACGACATTTTTGAAGTAGTAATTGCTCTAAGAAATACTGCTTTTGTGAAAGTGTTACAACGAAAAGGAGAGTTACGTTGTGGTTATTGGTTTTTAACAGCACTGATCTTTGTAAGTAATTACAGACAGCGCTCTTGTAACCACAGTAAAAAACACAAATTTATACTATTACGGAACATAACTAATGATCTGATTCAAGTAGTTGTAAGGAGTAAGTAATTGCAATAGTGGTTCTTGCAAAACCAGTGAAGAACATAAAGCTCCATTAGGCTATTACAAAATATGAAATGATTAAAGAGATATTACGATTTTTAGGTACGGAAAATATCTCATAATGAAACTTTTAAAATATTTTATTAGTGCGACAAGGAAACTTTTCATCAAAATGAATTTTTATTTAACTGACTATTTATCTATTGAAACCAAATTGTTATTTATTGATTGGTATGATTTATTTTTTGTTATCATGACTTTTGGTAAAGATATTGATTCTATTAGTCAACCTTTTTATTATAAACTTAGGGATATTATTATTGATTTTGCACCAGAGTTGAAAAATATGTCACAAACATATCCTAATTGGTATAATACTGAACTAATTAACTTGATTAAATTTAAAAAATTAAATGAGGAAACAGATCAAACATACACGTGATGCAGGGTCAGATCAAGCAGGAATCGTAGATTTTTGTTAATATTAAACACATATATTATATTGACTACTATTTTTGTAGTGTATATGATACTATACAATTTAAATCAATTTTGCTATGTAAAAGAAGGTGACAAATGAAAATTCAATGTTTTTGGGGGGAGGACGCATGGCCCCCCTGCTCCACCCCACGGATCCGCCACTGACGTGATGCGGATCTATTGATGATAATACAAGGAATCAATGAGAATATAAGGAACTGATGAGATTAAATGTTTGATAAAAATAAAGTTTAATGATTACAATATTAAAAATTATATTTATCTTTTAACTAATTCAGCTAAATTTTGGTCCATGTCAGTAAAAAAGTTCAAGTCGTATTCCGATTTCTCTGACATATATGTAATAACGTTTACTTTAAGGATCCACAAACAAATGTTAATAGGTTTGCAAAATGTTTTTTAAGTGGATATAAATATGATTCAACGGTAACAACATGCAAAACACACAGTCTTACTCAAAATATGGCTTCTAAATCTTTTACAAACTTGATCTTAACATTATTTTGTCGAAATTTAAAGAATTTTACTTGTCATTAAATTATATTCCGTTATCAGAATCATATCTCAATCTACCTTACAATATTGTTCATTATGCAGGATATGAATTAGTATCTATTTTGTCCCCTACTGGTGTTTCACAAGGTTCTAACTTAGAGCTCTTAATTTTCGCAATAACTGTTAATAATTTTGGTAATGTTTTTTTACTAACTTATGCTGATTACATGAAGTTAGTCCTTCCTGTAAATAATCCTGGTAATTGTCAAAAGCTACAGAATAATATTAATATTTTCTATCAAAATTGTGTATCAAATAAATGAAGTGTAAATCAGAATAAAATGAAAAATTATGTAATTTTTTAAATCGAGAAGTATTCAATTTAACTATCATATTGCTGGAGTACAACTTGAATATTTAACAATTAATAGGGATGTTGGAATTATTTTTCACAATCGTTTAACATTTCAAACTCATTTTAAGGAACGTATAAGCTCTGCCAGTAAACATTGGGTTCTGTGATGAGATTCAGCAGAAATATACATTTAATAACAGTACACAGAACACTATTATGCACTCTTGTACGATTTAAACTTCAATATGTATCGGTTTTATGGTCGGTATAATCGGTATAATATGGGGAAAATGTCTGAGAAAGTTTGTAAAGTATCTGGAATTTCGTGATTGTGATGTATATCCACCTAGAGAAACTGATGAACAGTACCTGCTCTGAAAATTTGACTTAAACAGCCTACAACACAAGAGACAATTACTCTAAATCATGCTTTTATTCAAAATTATAAGATAGTGTATCATTTTATTTATATCTGAACAGGTGTCATTTACAGTTCATCAATATTTATTGCATTTTTACCACCCATTACATTATTTTGATTGTTATGTTTATATCTCTAGATTATACAAAATAATTGAGGATGTAAATAATCTATTTTCTTCATCGAGATGTAATAGTGATATTTTTGCGGACTCAATTTCGGTGTTATATAATAAAGAATTCTCTTGTGTTACTGCCATTAAAAGCCTTAATAACTTATGTTGTAGGTCTTATAATGTGCCACCAATGACACGTACCAACTAACTGTATACTATGTCCTATAATGGGTTTATCCCGTAGGACTAAATATAAATGAATAAAAAAAACAAATAAATAAAATATAATTGAATTAATTAATTATTTAATCATCATCTATTCAACGAAATCATTCACTCATTTGGATATACGTAGAGATCGTACACAAGGTAGGTACTTGTAGTACACTTCAACAATATGTTCTGCAATTGCTTCTGTTTGATTACACTTATTACTTCTCACAAAACAAGTTATTTTTAATAATTTCTTCTTAGCTTACAAAAACCACGTAGATTTTTCACATGTACTAAAATCATTAAGTGAAATAATATCTTATGTGTCAAAATTTCAATAGTTTATATGTAAGTGAACTCTAAATTGCGCATTTTAATTACAGTTTCGAAGCTCTCGTATTTCGTTCGGTTAGATTTTCAAAGGTAGGCTAAAATGTTAGTAGGACAGAAATTGCAACATAATAATTACGTAATGGTATCCAATAATGCAATAATATGGTGGTTGTAACACTAGTACCTTTTTAAATACCTAGATGTTTTGAAAAACGCAACTTGGGCGCAGCACTTACCATTCGACATTCATTTTTAAGGATGTAGTGCAAGTGAAGAGGGTAGGGGCGCTAGTATCGCCAGGCATGGATATGCCCAGAGGAAGTAGAGAGTTCAAAGAGTATTAACTCTAACCTCTTTGAGTAGCCCGCGGTAGCCCGCTCACCACGAAGTCTGACAGGGGGAATTGAACACCGAAAAAGTTTTAGACAGTGAGTCTGAAGTGAGAAATTTGAAGGTGTTAATATTGTAATTATGTTATAATTTTCGTGCATTGCAGTCAAGGGTTTCTGAGGTGATTTCACTGAAACTGAATAAGTTTCTTGAATCGTAACTCGCCAACTATTTTGAATATGAAGGTTACGATTAAAAGTAAGTTGAGTGTAGAAACAGTTTGCTATTGATAAAACGAATTCTTTGCTACAAAAAAATTATTTGCTGTGCCTATTAGCGTAGTAGTTAACCCGAATCAATTGGTTTTCATTTTGATTTCGTTTCTGTCAAATGAAATTAAAATAGTAACAGTGACAATAAAATATATTACTCATATGAGAAAGTGAAATTTAAAATAATTTGATTGTAGGTTGGACTGGGGTGGCTACTTGGAGATGGGTTGCAAATGATGACAATTGTGGCATTTGCCGCATGGCCTTTGATGGATGTTGTCCTGATTGCAAACTTCCTGGTGATGATTGTCCATTAGGTTAGTTTTAAATATTTTTATCTAAATTCACAGATTTTGAGTATAATGTAGTTTTAAAATTAATATTTCATATATTTTACAGTATGGGGCCAGTGCTCTCATTGTTTCCACATCCATTGCATCATGAAATGGTTAAATTCACAACAAGTAAATCACCAGTGTCCCATGTGTCGTCAGGATTGGAAATTTAAAGAATGATCATTGTAATTCCTAAATGGAATAGGATGGAAATTTTGTCAATTGGATTCTTTGTAAGTGTGTAAATGTAAGACATTTTAAAATTATAGATAATACATTAAGAGAAGAATGTTTATTATAATTTTTGTCTGTTTGAGAAAAGTAATATATTATGCATCTGTTATTTCAGTCTTGCTGATGAGTTAAGTGAGTGACTAATTATGACTGTGAGGTATTTTAATGAGACTCAGATTTTCTCCATTGTTTGAAGAAACTTTTATTTTGTTAGCATAATCTTCAAAATGGCCATTGTAACCATTTTTTATTTAGTTATTGTCATGTCTAAAATACCAATGTTGTTTATATTTTTTTGATAAATTTTCTTGTTTGTGTATTATGCAGAAAAGATCAAGATTCCTTTGTATTGCATGTTCAGGCCAGCTTAGGAGTTCGTAACTCTTGCATTTGAAATCTCAGTCGTTTTCATTTCATTGCGTGCCTTTAGCAATGTTGAGAGACAACTGGAGACTGATACTTTCAAAAGAAACAAGTGGTCTGTAGCTGCTTCTTGTTAAGAAATGTTTGTTTGTAATGTTTATGGTATTTTTTTTTAATATTTAATAAAATTGTAAACATGTATTTGCCACATTGTTTTGTATTTCTCTCCCACGTATTTGATCTGCAGGGATTAGGATTAATACGTTTAGTTTGTACTTTTAATTATTTTTTTTTTCCTTGATGTCATTTTAAGAACTTTAAGCTCTGAAATATATTACAAGAATATTATATTTCTCATGTTCATAATATGTGAGAAATTTAAGTAGAAATAATAGTTGGCTTAGTGCTTTTTGATGATTTGTGATAACATGTTCCTCTGCAACCGATCTAATATTGAAAAAAAAACATTTATGCACTTCTCTGATAGTTAAACATCAATTAACTATTAGACAAATGCATAAATATTTTGTTTGAATAGTAAATACTATTTTAAATAGTAACACAAATAAGAATAAGAAGGTTATGAAAGTGAGAGTAGAACTTATAACATGAACACCCACACAGAATGACTCTCTGTGTTGCTAAATGTTACACTGTTAGCAACGTCTGCAACGATTGAGAAACATTTTTTCAACACCTGTCGATAAGTCACTACAGCTGAGGAAGATAATGGAAGATGCAACTCAATATCTCATGATAACTGATTGTGGGGCAAAAATATGAGTGTAGAGTCTCAGTCCGCATGCGTGTAACCAAGGCTTAAAATCGTCCATGACATTCTTGAAACGACAAAAATATGTTTTGTGTGTGCTTTAAAAAAGGACTGTTCTGCCAGTTCAGTATTATTTTAATATTTTTTAAATAAGAACAGTGAGATTTATTTTTTGTATTCTATTTATGCAGAGGGACTATTCAGTAACAGAACTTTTAATTATATAAGTGCATAATATGTGTGTAAAATTGTTGGAAATTTTTAGGCTTAAATGTACTGAATATTTTTTTGGCAAAGAATTGTTCAATATACTTATGTCAAAATAGTTTTCATATTTTTGTCTTCTTTGGAACTTTTTATTTTTGAGTTTAGTTTCATCCTGTACTATTGGGAGTTTGTGTATTATACAATTTAATTCATACATTAAATTACTGTAGTATTGCAAAGAAACCAGCCTAAAGTGTACTTTCGGTTGGTTTCTTTACAATAATTTCATATTAGTTAACAAAATTCAGTACTAAACTATGGGGATTGTAATGCCAATTATTAAAGGGGAATTAATTTCGTTACATAATAGATTTTGGTATGGCAGTTTAGTGGAGTAGGATTAAAATAATTGTTTTAATTATGTGCCCAGTTCTGTTTATGCTTTTGATGTTTTTGATATTTCAACTTTTACATGTTGAAAAAAATGGCTTAGTTGCCCTTCTATTTAACTATCATGAAAATTGTCTAAAAGGTGTTCAAAAATCTCAACGAAGTTGAGGCAGTCTATGTAGTTCGTCATATAACATGAAAGCTTGAAATTCTTTGATCACTGTTTATTTCCTGCAATTTTTTCTTATCAAATGATGCAATAAAGACGCAATCATTACAGTAGTAGAATTACAGCATATAGTTTCTGCTCATTGATAAAATAAATAAATAAAAATATGAAGGGAAAAAACAAAACTTAAAAAAACTTCTTGGGTGGGTTGAAGGAAAACATCCACCTCTTGCTACTGTCTTCTGTAATTTATCTCTCCTCAACTGCATGTAATTACATTATATTAAGTTCTTACCTTGGTGTAATAGTTGATACAGAATTTAGTTGTGGGTCATTTGCACAAAACATGTCATCTACAAACAGTTAAAGGGTTTAAATTATTTTCTGATTTCAGAAATCTATTGATGTACTTTGAATTTTCCTTCACTTATCAAGAAAATGTTCAAAACAGTTTGATGTGCAGGGAAGAAACTCAATAGATTTAGTCACTATGGCTGAGGAAGATAATGGGAGCTCAAGAAAACCTACATAGGTACGTTTTCTTCAGCTTCAAAATCCCTACCGTTTTTGATCACAAAATAATAATAAACAAAGCGAAGTGACTCAGTATGTAGTCGGGAGACCTGAGTTCAATCCCCTGGCTGGTCATTCTGACCAGGGTTTTTGTGGTTTTCCGCGGTCATACAAGCGAATGCTGGGATGGTTCAAAATGGCCATAATCACCTCATAATTCATACTTCAAGGCTTAACAACCTTGTCTTTCGAAGGGATACAGCCGAAAAGTTGATCCCCATAATGATACATTTCAATCTCTGTGTGTGTTAGAATATGACTGGGTTTCGGAAGGGAATGTGTAGCATGGTCAGAAATGGCTGATGCACTAATAATAATAATAATAATAACAACAACAACAATACACCTCAATAATACCCTTTAGTGCTCAAGAAAATGTGTACATCTAGAGAACTTGTGATTTTTTAGCAAAGCAAGGCATCTCAATATTTGTTCATTAGATCAAGGGAAACTAGACCAAAACCTTATCGAGATCATTGGGGTCATAGATCTAAATGCTGAAGTACAGAACTTGCTACAGATGTAATCTTATAGAATCCTCATTACAAGTGATAACTTATGTATTAATATCATTTTAAAATTATTATTTTCATTTTTGGGTTTTATATAGTCTCTGATTAGATATAACACTTATGTAGCAGAAAATATTTTACATGGCATCTAAACTTGTGCATTAAATGTGTAATGACATGTGGCACCATGTTGTAAAGTAATGAACATGAAAGTGAATTTTTTTGTAGGGAGGTACTCACACTTACAGAATAGGATTCCTACTACATGTATATAATTATTGTCATGAAAGTTGGTTCCTGCCCTGCAGTAAGTAGATTTTGATAGAATCACTGATCTATTAATGAAGTGGCAAGTCACTGGCAGACTTGAAAGAATAACATAATTGGGATTGGCTTATTCATACAATTCTTTCTAAAATTTTTAATCTAAAAGTCTGGGACAGTGGTGTAACGTTCAGATGTGCAAGACCCGCAATGCAGGCAGGTACCCGTAAAAGAGGGTCTATTTTATTATTTTTATTAAGACTACTTGTGTTTGCTATACCCTTTTGAAAAGTAGGCCCAGATAAAAGCTTTGCAGGCAGGCCTGTTCTCATTTTGTTACGCTACTGGTCTGGGAAGTGTATCCATGGAATATAATGCCATATCTCAGATACGAATGTACATTTATAAAATATATGGAATGAGTGTGGAGGCTGACAGAATTTAAAAGAATTGTTCATACATAGATTAATGAACTAAATTTTGTGTTCAGTTTATTTAAATGGAAATTCCATTTGAGATTTGACTGAGCTCAAAAATGTTATTGTAACATCAGCACATTTTCAATTCAGTATGCAATTTTTTATCTGGTATGAAAAACTATTCTAAACCAGTTTTTCTTTTGTTTACAACTAATTTTTACTGCCTCGTCCTCATTTTTGAATTACATAATTCAAGGTATTGTCATTGTCAATTATATTGTTTGTTACAAGAGCAGCTTTTGATGGCTTAGCCATCATACAAAGTGAAGAATAATTTTTTCACTGTGGTACGGACCAACCACAGTTTGCTTTACACCGGCCTCTCCCACCATTATCCCTAGGCATAAGCATAGTTTTAAATGAAGATTCGAACTGACGCGTGTCATTAATACTCTCTATCCAGCAAACTATGCCTTACTGATCTCTGCAAATTCAAAATAAAATTCGGAAATTAGTACAAACGGTGAAAATATGAGTTTACCAGAAATGTGGGCATTAAAGGGTAAAAATGACTAGTGGTACTACAGAATGGCACATACTTTCTCGTAGCAGTTTTCTTATTTCTTTGGTCTGGGTTTGGTCTCTTGCCAGCTGTCATGTATCGCCGCCCAAAGTGTATTTTTTTTTTTAATTTCTCAATTATTTTGATTTTCTTATAGTACAGAAATATTACTTAAATAATATAAAAGAAACGTAAAAATCTTGTCTTAATGGAAATTTTTGTTGAAACATTGGAATGCAAAATTTGAAGCTCTTTTTCTCAGAGAACTTTTTGAGTTTTCGAAAAAGCTTCATTGGAAGTCATTTGAAGTACATCCACGGTATTTCTAAACAAATTACTTTTGCCTAATTTCAAAAGGAATACAGCAAAATGACCTTGTCGTCTGAAACAGTGCATTTAGCAGTATCAGTACAAAGAGTTTTTAAAAAATGCAGCTGGATTAGAGAAAGTGGCGTTTTTGAACGTTTCTGAAAATGTGGAAATTTGATTTCATTTTCACAGAAAACGTTTGAGTTTTCAAGAACGTTTTGCAACATAATTTATAGCACATAAACGTATAAATTCAATAATGTGTTCATATCACTGCTAATGTGACAACTCAAAAAATTGGAAGTTTTGAAAAAATAAAATAGAAGAAAATTGCGTTTATATTATCTTATGCAGTACATTTAGCACTTCCTACCAAATGTTTAAAAAAAAAATGGAAATTTGTTTTTTGATATTTTTTCAATATTGCGTGAAAAATACTAAAATTTTCAAAACATCACATGACCTTCATTAAAGAACTAATTAAGGAGAACAAATTTTATTGGAAGAATAAATCTCCATCCTCAATTTTGTAGTTGGAAGAAGCTGGAAAATATTCAAACTTTAGCAATTTTCGTAAATTCAGAATTAATATTGAGAATCCACCCTTATACGTGTATTTCACTCTATTCGTATGAGGAATATAAAGCAAAAATTTCGGAGCCATTTTTGAGAATTCGAAAATGTCTCAGAAGCTTCAGGTAAGGTAACTTACTCCAAACTTTGAAAAATGTTTTATTCTAAATCGCGGAGCTTCGAATCGAGCCAGATTGATAGGTGAATATCCATTTTGGAAGAAATCCTGCGACCAGCTTAGGCGCCAGTGTTGTTCACTGACGGACGTTTTGAAAGAAAAAACAAAAATTTGTGGGGTATCAAAGGGCCCCAAATGTGGATGTCCGTTGAAATCTCGAAAACGATTTTCCGCAGCATTACATACATTTCTTTGTAATACGTGTATTACTCCCTACTTATACAAAAAAGTGAAAATGCATCGGTTTCAAATTCAAAGCATCGTGATATCAGCCAGATCGATTGAGGACTATCAATTTTGGAGAAAATCGGCTGAACGGTTTCGCCGTTAGCGTTGTTCAGACTGACGCGTTTTGCCGTCAATCGATTTATCAGTACTTATCCACAAAGCTTGGATTCTGGCTACACTACGTGTTACAGTTTTTTTTAAATATTTAGTAACTAGATTTATCCATTTTTTCGTTACCAGGGCCCAGCAATAAGAATTGTTCTTCCGAAAATTCACTTCTTGTTTCGCAGCTAGCTTCCTTTGGCATGGGGTGGAGGAGGGCGCCTCTGCGGACTCTGTCCCGCGCTATCTGTTTGTACTCACGCGGGGCCAGGGTATATTGCCGGTGTGCATGTAGTAGCATGCCGCACTGCCATCAATGGCATCAGTGACTATTTTTTCCCTTAAGGCTTTTAGCTTGTGTCCGTCTGCAACTTTCTGTAGTGCGGCGTCACTACCCGCACACCATTCTCCCAGTGCCCCTATCACAAGCGCGACTACTTCAGCGCTGTGGTAAACGACGGTAATGAGGTGGGCGTGGGTGGCTTCTTGTTTTTGGTGCTGTACGCGTTCTTTATGCTAGCCGGGGTCAAAGTTTAATCAAAACGTGGGAGTGATTTTTGGTAAGTTTGTTGAAGTTTCATATAAAGAACCCCTAAAATCAAAATAAGTTTTAAACTCACAGGTCCTCGAGGACCTGTGAGTTTAAAACTTATTTTGGTTGGACCATTTTTGAGAAAATTTTGAAAATGCTCTCGGTGTTCATGTAAAGTACCCCTAAAATTTAAAGAATATCTTTCAATACCACAGGGCTTTTATCCGGTCAAGGTTAAGCGGGAAATATTCATTTTTGCAAAATAACGACGAAGTCCCTATTTTCATTTGAAACAACTACCAAAACCTCAAAAGAATAATCCAAAAGACTATTTAAAACCCCTGTGATGAAGTAAAACTAAAACACCCCCCCCCAAAAAAAAATTGATTAAAGAAACAAATAGCGATTAGGTATCTTCAATTATGTATGTACCACAAGTATCCACATGGCAGCAATAGTTAGGAATGGTCAAGCCTAAAAGTGAATCAAATGTTCTTATTAATACTCCTGAAAGACCGCAATGACGAACAGGTGAATAAATTTTTTAAAAAATGCAGGCGATAGCAGTGTTGTGAATTTTGGTGAACGGGAATTTTGAAAAAGATAACTCATTTTGTTTACCAAGAGATCCTAAAAGGTGCTTTTGAGTTCAAATTTCGAAATCGATTTTCCACAGCATTACAAAACTTTCTCTTTGTCACGTATATGTACGTATACACGTACATATACACGTACGTATTCTCGTACGAAAAAGAATAATGTGAGTGCAAACGTTTCGAAGACTGTGTAATTCTGTCCACTTTTTTTCAATCATTCTTTTATAATCACAAAAAAATACTGAACGTGGGTAAAACGGGAGAGGAAATACTCTGCCTCTGATTCATTGATGGTCTCGTGAAGTCTTGAAATATTTATATCTCCCCCTTCTTACGTTCTGTTATGTAATATTAAGTTTCCTTTTTATTTTACTGTTCTTTTCTTCCAGAATTAAGTTTAATGGAAGACATTAACTTCTAATGTCTTCACTACCACAATTTAAGAATTATGTTTCATTTCATGAAATTAAGAATATTATGAAACCTAAATTCATTGCTTACCTTCATTGATTTAGAAACTGGGTTATTAAAGTTACCGAAGTGGGGGAAAAGCGTTCTTTTGGAAAATGCCATTTTAAATCTTTTATTGTATCAACTATCGCATAGAATTAGAGAAAGTATCAAATAAATAATATTTCGCAAAACCTTCAGCTTAAAATTAGGCCATCTTTTACCTGGGCCCGAATGTTACGCCACTGCTCACTACAATGATCTTGGAAAGACTGCTCAGGGGAAACTCACTTCAGAATTGGGCGAGATTTTATTTAATGTTTCTTCAGATGGACTGGTAAATCAAATCTTTAAGGAATGCTATTTTCGTTTGTCATTACTTAACCTGTAATAACGTGAAAAATGTTACGAATTTCGTATTATGGGGCTCGAATTCTGATGACATATTTTTATCGATGCATTCTAAACGTTGCTAACTTGTAAATGAATGTATATCACAACACAGGGGGTAGAAATGTATAGGTATTGGGTTATCTTTTGCTATCTTTCAATTTTTACGACAATTTCTGGAGCTTTGCGTCATTTTTACGCATTTTGTTTCCTTTTCATGTTTTTTGTTAGTGAATGTTTCGTAAATTTACAATGACTCACTAAAACAAAGTTTTTATTGCATCATGACAAAATTCACTATTGTAGAGGACTCTTGTTTACAAACTGTCAAAATTACACGGATCTTTGGTAACTTTCTCGACTTTTCAAAATTTACGGTTGAAAAATCGGAGCTACGTATTCCATTTATACCTAACATAAACCTATATTAAATATAATTTTATATAAAATTGTGAGATTCATTGAATAAATAAAAGTATTCATACAAATTTTCGAGTACTTTTATAAAAATTATGTCATTTTCCCTTATCTTTGTCATTTTCAAAGATGTTTTAGGTGATCAGAAGCCGAACCCTGGTTATTAGATAAAGAAAGCAATAATGTTTAATATTATACAACGCAGTTATCTCCACTGAGCTCTACTGCATAATGTTGAGACCACCGGTTAGACCACCGGTTATATCTTAGGCTTGAGACCTTCATGTTTAGCAGGAAGGTTTGAAATGTTCGGGAAATAACCTCTCAATCGGGATTGGTGTCCAATTCTTCCTCTTTGACACAATCCACTTATCGAGGAGGTCCTTGTTTTTCCGAGGAAAAATATAAAAAAAAATCTAGGGCAACAATACAAATAAGTCACTTTGTGTAGCTAATTCTAACGACACATTCAGAAGTTTACTCAAGTAGTATTTTAAATTTCGTACTTTGTGTTCCTTAAAAAGTTATTCCAAATCCTTTTTTGAACTTGTTAGTGCAGATATCCGCGCACTTAAGACCGGCTAATTAATGATGTCGCGCAAACTGCACAAACAGAAAATCTCCTACTCAACATTCGCACGGGAGTAGGCCTATGGTATTCCAACAATTGTCATGGCGACTGCCGGGGGAGCTTGCTGCACTCTCACTATCCGAGAGAAGACCAACGTGATTCATTTATTACGTATACGACATCATTAATGTTAAACACTTACGGTGTTTTCTATAGTGAATATTTATCATCAGACTTGTAGGTGGTAAAATGGTCGGAAAAGCCAAGGAATCGAGATACTTTTTTTAGGTAGTAAGCTATTTACGAGTTTGCTAACTCGGAGAACGACGATAGTTTTTCTTACTAATATGCAAGCCTGGTATAGTTTTTACTGTTTGTGACGATAAATATGTTCATTAATTAGGCTAAGTAAATCTGATTTTATGACATCCAATGAATTTCAAATGCATGCCGTTTCAATATGTGGTATAGTACTGTTTTTGTGATTATGGCGAAATCGATTTGAACAATTCGATTCCACCAATCACGTACTACAAAAAAACGACAATAATTGAGTGCCGTTGCAACAACTTTAACTGGGTGAAGTTAATTCTAATAGTGCTTCTAGAATATTTTAATTTCATATCACTAGTTACACATTCTCGTTTAAATGGGAAGTAAAATAACTTCAATTCATAATACGCTGACAATTGAAAGCATTACTGAGGATTTTGGAACTCATGGCTGGCATGTTACAATTCTCTTCGCGAAGTTTGCCTTGGAATGTCATTAGATTAACATCAAGGATATGGAAGACTGAAAATTGCCATGTCACCGCGAAAGCAAGATTATATCAAGGTCTTGCAGGTCGAAGCTGGGTTTGGCGAATAGAGAATAATGCAACCAGAAAACGTTTGAAAGTTCAACAAAACATACATCATCTTCGAACTCAACAATTCCAGTCTACTGCGGGTTTATACGAGGAAATACAGACGGTTAGTGCTCCTCATTTCGCGGAATCTGTATCTGAAGGTGACGTGAAGTTTCAGAAAGAAGTAGGTGATGCTGTGGCAGTAGATGACGTCGTTCTCGAAATAGAAACAGATAAGACATCAGTGCCTGTACCAGCGCCAGCATCCGGTATAATTGTAGAGCGCCTGGTTCCAGATGGATCTCCGGTCAAAGCTGGTCAGGCTCTATTTAAACTCAAAGTTACTGGGGTTGCTCCGCCAAAAGCTGCTGCCAAACCAGTTGCTGCAGGTAAGGCTGCACCACCGAAACCAGCACGAGCACCAGCAGCAGCACCACCACCACCACCATCATCAACTCCTGCCAAACCAAGTGCCCCGGGAAAACCAGCCACGGCTACACCTGCTGCTCCGGCTAAGGCGATAATTGGAACTCGTTCTGAGACGCGTGTGAAAATGAATCGTATGAGGCAGAGAATTGCTCAAAGACTAAAAGAGGCTCAAAACACAAATGCTATGCTAACAACTTTTAATGAAGTAGACATGAGCCATATTATACAGTTTAGAAAGCAACATTTAGAAGCATTCCAAAAGAAGTACAATCAGAAGTTTGGTTTCATGTCTCCTTTTGTCAAAGCATCAGCATTTGCATTACAAGATCAACCTGTTGTGAATGCTGTAATTAGTGGATCTGATATTGTGTATCGCGACTATATTGATATTTCCATTGCAGTTGCCACACCCAAGGGTTTAGTTGTACCGGTGCTTCGTAATGTTGAAAGTATGAATTTTGCAGACATTGAACTTGAAATTTCAGCTCTAGGCAATAAAGCTCGTAAGGGTACTCTAGCTGTTGAAGAAATGGATGGTGGTACTTTTTCTATTAGCAATGGTGGAGTGTTTGGGTCTCTAATGGGAACTCCCATAATCAATCCTCCACAGTCTGCCATTCTTGGAATGCATGGTGTATTTGAGAGACCTATTGCAGTGAAAGGTCAGGTTGTCATCCGGCCTATGATGTATGTTGCTTTGACTTATGACCACCGGCTTATTGATGGCCGTGATGCTGTCTTCTTCTTGCGTAAAATTAAAGATGCTGTTGAAGATCCACGTATTATGTTTTTAGGGCTCTAGGTGTACTGAGAAATGTGAAATCATAAAAATTCTTTCAAAACGATGGTGTGTGGGAGGAAGGATTTGGTGTCTGTTGTGTGAAGAATTATGAAATATGAAAACTTATTTGTGAAAGAAATAAACATTGGCATATGTGGTGTGTAGAATTAAAGAAAATGAAAGCCATTAGTGTTTACAAAAAATAATTAGGAGAAAGAAGATATCCAAGAATATTGAATCATAATTTCAAAGAGTACCATATTTTTTATTTTACTGAATAAAATAATGTATTTATGTAGCACATGTAGTTACTCATGATATGTAGGTATACATTCAGTTTATATTCTGATCTCAATGCTGAAAAAGTTCTGTGGGTGAAATGCTCATGATTTTCAGAGGAAAACAAAAGAATTTAACATCTTCATTGACACACAGAATCATAGTGTGGTTTGTGGTTTACATAATAATGTTCCAAATTATATAATGGTATGGTATACTCAAATTCATCAACCATTAACTTAGTAATTTTCAAATATTTGGGCTAAAACAAAATAAACCAAAAAAAAAACGTTCTTTATGGTACATAGAATCAAGGAAACTGAAAACCATTCGTGTTTTAAAAATAAAATAGTTAGGTGATGACAGTGGAAAATATATCAATGAAAAGACAATCAAACTTACAAATAGTACTATATTTTTATTTTACTGAATAAATGCAATTTTTAACACATCAGATAGGTATTATGAATTTGGTTTATATATCTTGATGCTGAAAAAGTTTGGTGGATGAAATGCTCATAATTTCCAAAGGAAAATAAAATAATTTCATTGTTCATACAAAAGTTATTTGTGATTCATATAATAATGTTCCAAATTTTATTTCAGTGGAATATCAACCATTAATGTAGGTAATTTTTTAAAATGTTTTGGCTTTGTTTGCCTCTTTTTTTTTCCACAGAAAGGACATGGTATTCCTGAAGAGGAAGTACTGTTGTTTCTTTGGACTACATGTTAAATAAAATGGTCTGAGGGGGGGGGGGGGGCCAATACTTGCAGTTGGCTGGAGGGGAGAGTTTCTTTCCCTTGCAGTGGTTTTTCCACCCATACCAAGCATTAAAACCCTGTCGACTGTAGATAAGCTTCGCACATTTGATGTCATCACTGATGTCTGCGTTGCGAAGAGCTGCATAAAAATAATTTATTTCATATAGTTGTTTTAGATGCAATTCTTAATTGGTTGATTAGTTTTGTATACATTTTTTTAACAAAAATATTATCTTTGACATATTTAAAAAAATTTACATGGCAACAGAGATTAAATGAAAGAATTTAAAAAAAATTCTATAGATTAATATATTTTCCCCCACATTTGAGCAGTAATAATATATAGAGTGTATCATGTGGTTCCAGAAGAATATAAATAATTTAGATGTTTATACAAACTGGGATAGTGGGTTTAAATAACAACCTAAATAATTAGTTACTGTCATTATTAATGTAATTGTAATATTAATAAAATGAAGATTATATAAGTAAATTAAATTATAATAATATTCTTAGTGTTAATCAATTAGTGTAAATAGATCATAAAACATTTTATAAAAATGTTGGCTAACAATTTCCTCCTTAAAATAGAAGACCAAGTTAATCCTTGAATAGTGATGTTTTTAAAATAATCTGCAACAATTTTTGGTCTAATTTATTTGTATTGCTTAAGAACACAGTAAGCTTTAATAACATACCTACACAGCTGTGTCAGGTCTCTTAATATTTTTAACAACACAAGTAGATCCAAAAAAATAAATATATGCAATTTTTTTAAAATCCTTTCTGTAGAGAAACATATTGATTACACAATAATGCATTTTATACAAATATTTTTTGGTTCAGTGTCCTGGACTAAGAGCCCAATATTTAGATTACACACATTGCCAGTTCCCATAATTCTGAAACTAATTATCAAATGATTTATTCCTTTTTGTTTAATTGTACAATTCTTGCTAGTTCCCTGAATGTCAAAATTCACTTATATTCTTACTATTTTTTATCAAGCACGCTAGATAATACTACAATCAACTGTGGTTCATTTCGGAATTAAGTGCAAGTTTCAGCACATCCAGTCATGAAAAGCATCTATAAATATGTGTGGTGCTCAACTTGTATACTCTTGCTTCATTCTTTTATAGTATTAATAATAATAATATATAAATAATAAATATACATATATATTAATAATAACATTATATATAATGTTATTATTATTATTATTTTCAAAAAAATAAAAATACCCAAAGAACAAAGTAATTTTGAAGATACAAACAAACCGAGAAAGAACCATTTTAAACAGAATAACTACTTTTGAATCGGTGTGTAAAATTAATGAGTGACTATCCTGTTAAAAGTTAAAATGAGTAAGATGTGAATGTATTTCCTGGTTATAGAAAAGAAGCATTAAATTTTTTTTTGAGAAAGTGATACATTTACAAAGAAAGAATTTCTCGATATTTTTGTCATCGTGATTAATCGTTATTCCTCTTTTTATTCCCCAAAGATAAAGAACTTTTAATTAATTTTCCTAAAAGAATTGATATTAAAATATATATAATAATTTTAGGAGTTCTTGTCATGAATTTAAAAAAAAAGATCTAAATGATATGCTAAAAACATTGCATCTGTACTACCATATCACGGATAATCATTTCTGCAATTAGTTTGCTATGAACTCCATAAAAACTGAATAATTGTAGGAAAAAATGACGTAGTTCAAATGAAGACAAAATAAAAATAACAAGAAATAGCAAAGTAACAAGGTGTCACAAGCTCAGAAATTGATGATTAAAAAATTCAATTGAAATACTTGTCTAGGAAGGAACACAATCTATTGTTTCTCTAAAACAAAAATGTGATTTTAGCATCTTAATGCATATCTAGATTTATTTAGTGAAAAAAATCTGCATTGCTAACAAAATAGTAACTCGCATGTGCCTCTACTTCTACCACTACAAGCAAAAGGAGAGTTCAACAAAAGTGCGCATAGTGAAGCTACATTTACGTTCAGGAGCAAAACAAGGGGCCATCTTAGCATTTGCTCAATGTATCAAGGAAACTGGTCAAAAAACTTGATCAAGATGGGGATATCTCCAATGATTATTTTCTAAATTACAATAAGATAATAAGATAAATAACGAGAAGATACTGTTCTCAACTATGACTTTGCCATCTTAAGAGTGGTTAATTTTGTTGTAGTAGTTGCAAATCTTTGTTAAATATAATTAAGTAAATAAGGTACTGTATATATTTATAGACAGTTGAAATATTTTGTATAAGAAATTGGGAAAATCTCATAAATATTTTCTTCTTTATTACAGTGTTTCTGAACCCTCTCTTGTTCCCATCATTGGATACTATAAAAACAATACAAAGTCAAATATTATATAATTATAATTTTATTTATTTCAACATAGTGACAATGATGGTGCTCTCCTCAATGTTATAATTTTTTTCCATTTGTTTTAATTAGTCTTTAAATGTTATTATGTATGTTTAAATTGATAATCTCAGTTGTAATTTTATTTCATGAGTATTATAGCCTAACTTGTTCAGCATTCCAGGCATGACTGAATTTGTTGTTAATTATGCTATTACGTTTTAAACTGAGAATAAGAAATATTTGTGAATTTCATCCATTACCGCCAAAAATAAGAAAAAAAAAGTCACTACTTACTAATGAAACTATGAATCTATTTTCCATTTTGTGTAACCTCAGAAAAAAATTTTGTACTTCTCATTGTTACCAAAATTCTAATAAATATTATACGGACATGGTAATTTTGGCTAACGATGAGAATGATGGTTGTAAGAGAAGACCATAGCTCATTTGATATACCACACAGAATTAAAATATTTATATTTTAAAATTAGTTTCATTCTATCTTTTGAACCTCAAAAAATTGATATTATAATACGCTAAAATGGTAGTGAATTTATTACTCACACGAACATCTCAGCTTGCAATCTCCTCCGACAGAGTTCTCTCTGCACCAATATCGGTCATTGATCTGCAACATCATAGTTATTTATGCACCAAAGGCGTTTTAAAGATGATCGAGGGGCGACAAAAAGCCAAGGCGAAAAAATAAAACCTAATGCTTAGTACCCTTCGCGTCGGCGAAGGTGTGAGCGTCACCTTGACTGTCCCGTTAAATCATGAGGGGATTTTTTTACTTTCAAATATCTGCATGGCCTCGCGGACGGGCGAGTTTGTTCTCGGAGACATCTGGGCCACTTGTGTTTCGTGAGGCACTCCGACATCATTTTGCGAACCACGAACTGTTGAAGTCACGCAAGACAGCTTTGCCGCTCCAAGACACTGGTACCCAGCTGACAACGCACCACAGAGAATGAGGGATTAGCGTTTTGGCTTCTGAATCCCCAGTGCGCGGATTGGATCCCGGCTGAGAAGCGTGGATTTTCGAAGGACGGAAAATCCACAGTAGTCATGCCACTCATGTGGTATGTAAAATAACCCTGGCGACTGCCCGGCAAAATTAAATCACTCCGATAATATCCAGATATATCTTTCTCCCAAAAATATAGTTTCGATGTTGTTAACGGAGACCGACATCTGGCGGAGAAAGTCACACCCTAGGCGCATCCGGGAACCGCCCGTGAGGCGCGCGTGATCGGAAGGTCCCCAGATCCGCGTCGGAGGTATGCTTCCAAGGAAGCCTAGGTCGGAAAAGTGGCTGGCATCCGCTGGCAACTGCTTTGAATATCCTCTTAGGGGGATCCCTAAGGCTCGCATGTGATCTCCTCATTACTACTACTAATACTGCTACACAGTTGACATTCGGGAGAGGGGGTGCTGAACTCGTTAAGCTCATTTCTAGCAGAATTCATCGAGCTGCGCTATTAGGAAAATCCCTAATGTCGCGTGGCCCATGTTAGGCATCATTCACAGTTCAAACTTAGACGTAAAGTTTACCCCTAGAAACAATCATTCACAATGACGAACATAAGCTGCAACGTAAGTCTCACCTGAGCCAGTCAGATTTCAGCGTATTGAAGATTTATCGATTGTCGATTCGTTTCTAGCATGATGGAAAGATCTTTTCGCCATGGTTTCTATCGTTTCCTATTGATTTATTACATACATACATACACACACACACACACACACACACACACACACACGAGTAGTTGTATTAGTGCTCGCATGTCCTTTATTTTATAAGCGAAGATTCTCTTGTATCAAATTCACGAGTAAGTTATTTTATTCGCGATGTCAAGTTAAAGTCACAAGAAAAATTAACCAAATTCCTATTTTGAATTCACTACTCTCATCAAAACCATTCATAATAATTCATTCATTCATAATTTGACATAACCACTGAGTGAACACTATCTGAAATCCACTATGTTCTTTCATGGTCCTCTCTGATTGGTCTTCGGTAGAATTCTGACGTAAGCTTAACGTAAAAGCTTGGTGCTTGTGAACTCTTTAAGTTTACGGTTTTACGACTACAGTTATGTCGAAGCACTGTGAATGCAATAACTCAGTTTAACCCTTAATATCTCATTTCTTGGTGTTGCGGCTACGTTATGTTTACATTTAAGTTTGCATTGTGAATGAGGTCATACAAATACTAGCAATAGAAATCGATCTTTAGCGAATATACTTTTTTTATAACGTGGCCCTTCAAGCCTTGTCTTACAATTGAGTATCTCACAGCATTTCGCGTCTTTCTCGGTTGCGCCGCTAGATGTCGCATGATCGCAATCATTGTTTGATACGGTCGCGATCATGCAACATCTAGCGGCACAACCGAGAAAGACGCGAAATACCGTGTGGTGTTCCATCATAAAGTATAAACCTCAGGGAGCCATTAGTCGCATGAAAATCCCCTGGAGATTGAAGGCCGTCTTTCGTTGCTCAGTATCAGCAGTTGTCCCCCGCTCCCCATGCAGCGTCGTAGTGGAGGTGGCGGCGGATTTGCCGCACTAATTGAAGAGCTAATTTTCATTTAACTGCTATCTCTAAAGGTGCGTTTACACTGCCCGAGCGAACACTTCTGAACGAACAATTCTTCGTTCGTTCGTTCGTTCGGCCGGTGGAAACTGAACAGCCGAGTGAATCGTGACGTTCGGACGAGATCGACTGGCTGAAGGCAGTGAACGTTCGCTCAGTTCGTTCGTTCTGTGTAATGCAGACGCCGAGCGAACACGTTCGCTCGGAGCTGAAAGGTTCGGGACTCGGTCGAACATTTTCTTTTTTACCTGCGAGCGCGTTGACGAATGGCGCTAATTTCAATAGTCTTGTGGGTATAAATACGAAATGTGCAGTTTGTAGTTTGCATAAAAGACATATGAAACTTTTAAATGATAATTTTAAAGACAGGAAAGGAGAAGATACGGTACAAAATACACAAAAATTACTTATTTTAAATTCATGTTGAAATTTGTTTTAATATAACGCATTAGTATTGCGGGCTCCAGAGACATGTCACTTCTATCCACAATTAACAATGATACTGTGGCTTCAATAATGAAGTATTTTATATTTGATTTGTTGAGAATATGCTATTTTTATTATTTTCATTTAATTGTATTAACTCTCAGATATTTCTGCTCATTATAATACTTTTTACATAAATTAACGTTTTGTTAAATGTTAATTCACATTTTTGGAGAAATGATGATCGCAGACCTAAACACCAATATGGGACATACAAGAAACCTGTTGTTCTTTCCGTTCTTGTAAAACCTTTATAAAGAACTAAAAACTAAAAAAAAAAATTACATTTAATAAAGGTATTGAATTTTACATTTTTAAAATCATTAACCAGTTTTCAGAATCCGATTTATTGGTCAGGAAGCTTTGCTTTTTTATGAAAGAACACAAAAAGAATTAGCCCCAAATTTCCCGCGATCATCCGACGAACGAACGAGCCTTCGTTCAGAATGGCTTGTTCTCTCGTTCGTGCAGTGTAAACTTAAGAGTATTCTAGTGACTGGCTGTTGGGATCGGTAGTTTTTCCGCAATTTTTCCTATACTTACGAGGTATTACACACGCAACTTTTCTTGAACGATGGATTGAAGAAATGCGGATAGAGTGGGAGTACTAGTTACGTAATCAGCCGCACGAGAATTACTGAAGGATTGCAGCTCTGGAGTATCAGTCATGCCTTCGCAACTTCTTCAATAATTTGCGTTCTAACTTTGTTGAACGAATGTTGGCATGAGTGCACGCTGCGAACTTTGGTCTTCGACTGTTTATTGTGCCAGAGAAGGGAAAGCAAGGCCATCGTTCACGAAAATTTGCGCGAGTAATATCAGGTGAAGGACTGATCAGCGCCGTAACAAACGGGTCACGGACCATTCACGATCTTCACTTCTTTTTCCTATCACCCTTTACATACGCCCTTGCACTTATATACGAGTACACTGTACTACCACGAGCGTCGAGCTTGCCCCGGTTGTGACGGTGCCCCCACTGAGATACCTGGAGGAGGAAAGCCCGCAAGCCGACCTGTAGGTCGGCACCGAATCTCACATATTAGCTAGGGAGGAACCAGCCACATCGCGGGATTTAGAATGGGAACTACAGAAATAGGAGGTAACAGCCGTTTCGCTCTTACCTGGAAAATGCCATTGTCCTTGCTGCCGTTGGTGTTGACGTTCGTTGCTGCGGTGTTGAACGAACTCTCGTGCTTAATGAGGCAGAGCCCTGAAGTTACAAATGCACTAAATCAGCAAGGAATTTTAATTAAATCTATATTTGTCTTTTTTAATAAAATATCAAAACATTTCTATTCATCGGATTTAAACAAGGTTAACATTACTATTTATGTACAATACGAGCACGTTTTCTTGAGCTCTGGAATTGTTATCCTCTCTTTTATCCTTAGACGAATTGTGAATAAAAGCAGCAAGGCTGGATAGCCGAGGTTACTAAGGCTGTAGGGCCCTAGCTGTCTCGGCTCGAAGAAACGCGGGTTCGAATTCCGCCTCGGGCATGGACGTTTGTGAGTGCTTGTGTTGTCCTTACGTGTCGTGTTCCCCGTACAGTTACCCCAATGTTAAACAATAAAAATGGTGTATACTTTACGTAGTAGTTAAAAAGCGACCTAAAAAAGCAAGTTTTGTTTGTAACATTTAATAAAAAGAAATCGCTCTCATGTAATCCTTGTATGGTACAAGTAACCGCCGTTCGTCTTTCACCGGCTTTCTCTCCACCAATCCAGGCAAATGAGGTGTCATTCGACCCGACTCGGACTGCTGGGGAGGTACTGATTTTTTGCCAATCTAGAAAATTCTAAAAAATCTTGCTAAGAACTTGCTTTTCATTTTTTAAAGAACCAAAATGCGTTTTGGGTAACTTAGGTAAACGTACAGAGGTGACCAGTAGCTAATTATATTCCTTTCGACAAAACAAATCAATTGTTACACATAGTGGCTATTTCCCTCTTCGATATTCTGGTAGGATTATACAAAAACACTGTTTTTAAAGGATTTGTAATTAGGAGTAGTATTTTGTGAGCCTCTTGTCGTAGAATCGTGTAATATATGTTGTCAGGAACGCAAACAAGTAAGAGAGAGTTGTTTGATATATGAAGGAAATGCCACATATTCAAATAATGACTAAAATTTAAAAAAAATGTATGTCAGCACCAGGCGAATGCCGAATGAGTACCCTAACAAACGGGCCATCTCCCGCGCGATCTTTCTTTTCTCTACCCTGATCTATCCTAACCCCTTGTACTGATGCGCACTACACTACTACACTTGTTAGGAGCTTAGATCTTGTCCTGGCTGGGGCAGTGCCACGCTGGTGAGAGACACCTGATTGGGGAAAATCCTCATAAGCTGACGTGTATCTCGGCAGACAGCAGGGGAAGGTCACCGCCACCTCCCGCGAAACAAATGTTCTACGCCTAAGGGACGAATGACCTTAACAGTAAACGCGCCTGGAAGCACTTCTTTTGCTTGCTTGCTTCTTCCCGCAATTGAAATCTTCAATTGCGGGACACCTTTTTCAAAGCACCTGATGTATAAATTAGTAATGTTATACGCGTACGTTTTCTTCATCCTCTACCCTCTCCTCCCCTTTACCAACAGTAGTTGAATTAAGAATAACTTGCCGTGTGGTTAAAATTTCATAACCGGAAATGTTCGCTCGCATGTAATATTTCGCTTCGAAAAAACGACTGCGTTTTTGATGTCCCTGTCATCAAAATACCCCCCCCCCAATCCTTTTGCATATGATGAAATGAGGACTGAAGAAAAGGTGCGCGGATAATACATGTTCCTGAGCTAGTAACTTACAGTCCGGAATCCGGCTCCTCGGAATCCCGGCCTTGACGAGGTCCTTGGCGACGGTGCACTCCGACAGCACGACCGCCACCGCCGGCAGGGCCGTCTGCGCCAGCACCAGCGCCGCCAAGCTCACGGCGAGAACGCAGCGGGCCATTCTGCGGGGAGAGCAATTCATAAATTCTTGGCTGTCCGGGAGTCGTCGCGTCGTTGGCTGAGAGGCCGACGTTTCGCCTGACTTGTCGCAGACTTGAGGCGTTAGGCGTCATTGCCCTGAGGAAGTCTGCGACATGTCAGGCGAAACGTCGGCCTCTCAGCCAACGACCCGCCGTCTCCCGGTTTGTCAATAATTTATGGAATCGAGCCGCGGAAGCTTACGGGTGCACGAGAGAGCAATTCGTCGTAGAGCGTCTATTATAGATCAGAAATATCGAACTTGTAAGGCCTTGAAGGTCAAAACTAATACCCTTAATATTGTTTCAGGCCATATTTTCATATCTCTGGCGATTCACACCTGACTTCCGGCATTGTAGATATCTGCAGTTTGCTCGGCAGCTCTAAAAATGGGGTGGGTGGGTGGAACCATGCGTCATATCAAGCCGTACTATGCATAACGCAGAGAAGCGTATTACGATGATTTTGAATTTCTGAATTTATTAGAAAATAATTCTTGAATCTAAAGTTCATCTTTTTACATTAAGGGGCTGTTGTCTCGGCAGGGTGCGTGCTCTAGGCGCCCCATATTCCCGATATAGATGCAAGGGACTTTCAGTTTTGACCAATAACCTTTCGCGGGCCGCAAGTTGGACACCCCTGTTATAGTTGTTTATGAATTAGCAGCAGATTTCTATGATTTTGTGTATTCGTGTCCGTGTACTTCAGGGCATAGCTAAGTGAAATTTCTAGACATTTGGTTACAATTGGATGCTATGTGGATTAATATTGTATGTTGGTGCATATTCGTTTAATTATAGACGCATATTTTGTTAAAATGAGACTTGTCTTTAAAACGTTTCATCTTTTCATAGAATTAATTTATTTGTAAACGTTTCACAGTTTGTGTTTTCTTTTTTTGTAAATGATAAAATATTTGTACAAATGTAGGTTCTTTATATATTTTTGATACCAGGCATAGGAGATGCAACTAGGCATAATATGTATTTTACTAAGATGAATATTTACTTCATTCATTATTTCTCCCGAAAAGTAAGGTAGATCACATTATATTTGCCCAAAAATATATCTTTTCATTCCAAGCATGCTTCTCCTGAAATTTTTTCCACATTTTGTTGCGAAAATGAAATATTGTTAATTTTAATTGCACATTAAACTGCTTATTTCAAAATTTGTAATTCATAGTGTCTACTTTTAAAACCAGATTTGAAGATAAAAAATACTCTTCCAATTAATGAAACAAGCTTCATATAAATATGACAATTCGCTTATTTCACGTATCGCTTTTGCAAGATGAGGCTTTAGTCAGGAACGAGTTTCATTTTTATGTTACACCAGGTGTGTATCATGCAATATTTTATCCACGATGGTAACACAGCCATTTTTTAGTTCCAACAGTTTGGTAACGAATGTCATTGTTTCGACAACAGCAACTTTTGTTGTATTTATTTGATGTTAGCTTAAGCTTAATAAAAATGTCAGATTAACGTTTATAGTAAGTGATTATAGTTCATTTTAAACATTTCGACAATTAATATGTACACGCAGATTTGGCGTCAATTGACAATTTCAATTTTTTCAGTGTATTTTCATTACTTTCCAATATTTTAAATTGGTTCTTAAGGCGTAAATCAGAAATAGTAAATATGGCGGTTGTGTTCTCTGTGACTCGGTAGTCGTGAATGTCTTCAGAAATTTGTTCCATATCAAGGAATGCAGTTTTTTGCTAATACTCTCTTTGACAGTGGTTGTGCATTAATTTCTGGTGTGCAGTTATTTGCATACCAAGATGTGCGATATTTTGATTAAATTTCCTTCCTAATCAATAAAAATGCCTGAGCAATTACTGAGACTTAAAAAATCGTAAAACTCAGTATTACGAAGAAAATAATGAATTGTCAATGAAGTCATTCTTAGATTCGCCGTCAAAGTTAATTTGCTCACGGGCTAGGAAAGTTACTCAGCGCAAGAGATTGTACTTACCCTGCCTCTGAATTTTCAACGCAACTGGAGTAACTGACAGCAACGACAGTACAGTGCTGCGTCTTTATATGCGCTTTCTAGAAGTCAGTTCAGTAATTTATTCGTTGCACATATGAAATTACTATCGCTTTCTTTTCTGATCAAGGAGTGTGAAGGAGACCGCCCATGGGGGTTCTTATCCAGCTGTTTTGCCTTCTACGTGTGACATCCGTTGACCGATATTCTTGGTGTCTAAGTACACGCTGACAGTACGCGCAAATAAAATAAATGTAAATATGCGATTAAATATCTGCATTTAGGAATAAACTTGAAAATGGCCCGTGAGTTCTTAGCTACGCTGCTACTAGGAAACATATGCCAATAGGTGACAGAAGATAATCGCTTACGTCCGCTTATAAAATATGTAGCTATTTATTTTAAAAGTGCGTGAAATGCATAAAATGGCCTATAACCTACATTTTATCTCATTCGATAGCCTTTTTAAGGTTGTGTTATATTTTGTAGAACTGTGTCTATATTATTAATGGTATTGACTACGATATTATGTGATATTAATATTGACTTCAGCGATAGTAGTGGTGAGATACAATTTTATGTTACTCTCACGCCGAGAGGTCATCAAAGCAGGAAGCGGAAAAAGTGCAATGATGATGAATAAATTTACGAAAGTATTATAACTGAAGGCGCAAAGACTGTGATATCCTCTTAAAAAAGAAAATTAAACATTTTGCGCAAAAGCCATTCTGGGATAACACAAAGGATTCATGGGAATATCATGGGAAAAAAACGATTTTTTTCTAAGAATTATCTCAAGATTTCCACCTCTACTTGAAAAAATACAAATCATTAAGAAAAGTCATAAGGCAGGCTAAACTTATGAAATACCATCAGGATATTTTGAACTTAAATATCAAAACAAAAACAATGCAGGTGTATTTTTTTTACTATATTCTACATTAAATAAAAACCTTGTAGAAAATGTTTTAAAAAATAACTATAGAGATCAGAACGATCCAGTTGCAGTATCTAGTCTCTTCAAACAATATTTTTCGAGAATTGCTGCTGATGTCACTATGGGTTTTTCAGCCACAACATTTAACATCAGACCTTTCCCCAAAAATGTTAGGCACGATGTTCGTTTCTGAAACTTCTTCCGATGAAATTCTCGAAGCAACCAGTGAACTAAAAAATAAATATTTGGCCGATTTGGATAAATTCTCGGATTGTTTCTTAAAGATTTGTGCGACTGCCATTATACACCCGTAAACTCACATTTTTAATGTATCTTTATGCACCGTAACATTTCCAGATATTTTCAAAAGAGCTAATATTAGACCCTTGTCCAAAAAAGGCAAAAATGAAGATAAAAATTATCGACTAATTTCTTTTGTCAATTTTGTTTTCACAAATATTAGAGAGCATTTTTACGTACGAATGGAAACTTTCTCAATAAACACGACGCGTTTAAAGATTTCCAACATGGATTTCAGAACTCAAAATCTGCGGAAACAGCCGTATTTTCTTTCGTTGAAGATGTCACTTCGTCCATGGATCAAAACGAAGCACTTATTACAATAATTTTAAACCTTTCAAAAGTTTTTGACGTCATTAATAGTAACATTTTACTTTCAAAATTACCTTCGTATGGAATCCGTGGTATTGTTCTGTATTTGTTATGTTTGTATCTTAAACAAAGATCTCAGATAGTTGAAATACCTTACTGCAATGATGAAGCATTATGTACATACTTTTCCGATTCATTGCAAATTGCACATGGGAGTCCCGCAGGGATCGATTTTAGACCCTACTCTCTTCGTACTATACATAAACGATATGCTTTCGACAATTCGAAACGGAAGCACATCTCTTTGCTGTTTCAATGCATTTTACCCATTCAAAAAACCAATTCTCTACGCCATTGAAAATGAACGGTGTGCTCTTGACAGATGTTAAGGTAACCAAGTGTTAAGTTCCCTCTATTCAGTCAAATCTCAAATGGAACGTAGATTTAAATGAATTTAACACAAAATTAGGTTAACTATGCTACCCGTCCAGGATTCTTTCAAACTATCTCCCTTTATACTACTCGTTGTGTATATCTCGCGAATGTTCGTTCCCCCCTGAGATGTATGCCATAATATTGTGGGGAAATACATCTTACAGCCCCGAAATTTGCCTCTGATCAAGTTTGTAACACATATAGAGTATCCGGAAGCATAGACAATACCAATGTGATATGTACAAACATTATTGTCATTATAATATAATACGGATTAACTATGAAAAAACCTCGTCAAATACAGAATGAATGATACAAATTTCTATAGGATGTAAACGGAACTAAATGATTACATTTTTGTCTATGAACTTATAGCGGGAAATTACATTCAACGGAGTTACACATATGAGATTTTGCCCTCAGTGGTAGGCAAACTCGTGCGCACAGGTATTCGTCAGGTACATGAAATCTCCGTGTCTGCGACAGAACGAGACCTGCGAAACACTTCAGAATAGTTGCCGCTCGTGATTTTCTAAATGGAGAAGGCTGTAAATGCATTACATTATATCGCATTGAATTATATTGCACAGCACTGCACTGCACAGCAATGCATTTCATTGCATTGCACTGCATTGCACTGTATTGCACTGCCCTGCACTGCATTGAACTACATTGCGTGTATTGCGCTCCTATCGCATATCGGGGAAAGGAACGTGAAAAGGATTAATGATGAGCTGGATGCTAATGCTATTGTGTATGGTGAGCGCACTCTTTTTCACCCTACACTCCACCCTTGAAAGCTGCCAGGATGCAACCTTCGTCTGTCGCAGTGCCTGTGGAGTGAATGCATGACGTCACGCCTCCTCGTTTTACACAGGTCTTGTGGCGGAATGAAGTGGGATCCTAACGGTTTTGTCTTCCCTGTAAACAGCTTCAAACGCGTTACGGACTTCTGTTAACAAATTGCCAAAGAAAACTTTTGATACGATAAAAATATATAAGATAACTAAGATTAATGAATACATTTATAAATATACGTTTACATTCTTATGGGGGACGATTTATGTAGGAGAGGATTCGCCTTTAAAGACGAGCCGCGCCAGCCTTACAATCACAGTTGCCTTACAATCTGAGGCAAATGTCAGTGTGGAACTCCATTACATGAAATTTCCCATTATATGCTCATTGGAAAAGAATAATATTTTTCAATCCTTCCACATGCTCAAACAGTTCGTAACATTTTTTCGGAGACACCTGCCTCAGTGCACCTAATGTGCCCCCACTACGGAGGTGTGGTGTGTTCAATAGAATGACGTGAGTGATTCAATATTTGTGCTGTAAATAAAGATGTTTCTCACTAATAATATTAGTATAATATAATAATATTTTTAAGAAATAAGGGACTAATGACTTTTAAGTTTATTTACCATTGAAAAAAATGTAAGCTGAAGAAGCCGATATGTCTTCTTTGGCTTGAGGGATTGGAAGGGAAAAGATGAAGACGAAAGGATGATCGCAAATGGAGCGTATTGTAGAAGTATTCCGTCGTTGAACTCGGACTAAACTACTGCGACACCAACTGTTCTAATGAAATGTCAAAATTACAGCCCAGATTCATTCTAGCTCTAACATAAATTTCCATTCAAGTGTTATAACATTTTAAAATTAAGATTCGCCTATTCCACTGTGGAAGCTTACAGCTTGTCCCAGCTAGGGCGGTGCCTGACTGGTGGGAGATACCCGCTTGAAGAAAATCTCGCATGCCGAGTGAGGTTGACTACTGATCCCACCAGCGAACGCCGACACACACACTAAACTTACGGGACTAATGACTTTGTTAGTTGGAGTCATCAACCAATCAATTATTACTACGTACCTGCACTTTTGTGAACTAGATCAAGGAGACAACGAAGGTACACTGCGCGGCGAAGCCGTCGCTCAGATCATTTATAACTGCGATTGATCCCCACGCACCAGTTCTTATGTTGGGTTATGAGAAAATGGGAGGTGCGTCATGCCACGGCCCACATGCTTT